ATGAAAGGAATACTTCATTTTTTTAAAAAAAGGTTGCATTTCAAGGCAAAACATGGCTTTGTGGATTTTTGCCCTAAACATTTTCCATTATTTCATTCCAAATTCTTCCCTCCCAGTTTTTGGTCATAATTCAAAACTGTATATAGTATAGTTCTCCCAGCCAACAATACAAATAACCTCTTGTTATTTTCTTGGCTCCAGGCATCACCTGTTTATTTCATTCTACTTTAAAGCCGGGAGGGGAGGGAGGGGAGAGAAAGGCTAAAATGCTAAAAAATAAAATGCCAGCTTCAAGTACAATTATTTTTTCCTGAGATTGCTTTAAGCACCTTACATATACTGGGGGCATTCTTAGAAAATAGAATGGATAAAATGCTGTATTATAGCATTTTACTGAAATAAAATAAAACTATAGCTTTATTATTAATAATAATCCTGTGAAAGAAATCTACAACATAGTGCTTTCCACATATCTGCTAGTAGTAGTAGTACCATAGTAGTGGTGGTGGTGGTAGAGGAGGAGGAGGAGGAGGAGGAGGAGGAGGAGGAGGAGGAGGAGGAGGAGGAGGAGGAGGAGGAGAAGAAGAAGAAGAAGAAGAAGAAGAAGAAGAAGAAGAAGAAGAAACAACTAAAGATGAAACATGAAACAATCTTGAGAAGTTTGATAAATTGCACTGCTGCTGAGGCCACCCCTACCAATTTGTAATAGTGCTTAAAGCATGGTCTCAAAATTATAGATGAGACCATTGAATAGAATAGAACAGAAAGAACAGAACAGAACAGAATTCTTTATTGGCCACGTGTGATTGGACACACAAGGAATTTGTATTCAGTGCATAAGCTATCAGTGTACATAAAAGCTATAAATGATAAATCGTGATCATAGTCATCATAAAAATACATTCATCATAAACCATAAAATACAACACTTAGTGATAGTCATAGGATACTAAATAAGCAATCAACATAAATCATACTAGAAAACTAAATAAAACAATATAAGTCGTAAAAATACAAGCAACAAAGTTATAGTCATAAGTAGAAAAGGAGATAGGTAATAGGAAAGATGAGAAGAATAATAGTAATAAAGCCTTACTAAATAGTTTGACAGTGTTGTGGAAATTATTTGATTTTTCACTGTTTTTTTACAGGTCCTCAACTTACATTTCTTTAGTGACCATTCAAAATTATAATGGCACTGAAAAAATGACTTACAACCAATCCTTTCAATTACAAGCATCATAGTATCCCCACAATCATGTGATCAAAATTTGGCAACATGGCAACTGACATGTATTCACTATGGTTGCAGTACCTTGGGGTCATGTGATCACTGTTTGTGATTTACCCAGCCAGCTCCCAACCATCAAAGACAATGGGGAAACTGGATTCACTTACCAACCATGGCAGAAGAGGTAATAAAATAGAGTGTGAATTAACTACCTTGCTTAGCAACAAAAATTCTAGTCCCAATTATGGACATAAGTCAAGGTCTACCTATAATTCTATTTTTAATTATATTTCTTTATATGGTTTTATTGTTTGTATCTGAAAACTATCCAGAGTCACTTAGATAGTGAGATGGGGAGTGTCCACATTTGATAAATAGATAGATAAAAATTTGGTCCCAAAAATTTGGAGATGCCTGATATATAATATGCATTAAATACATATTTACGTTTTTTGAGATTTTAATTTCCAAATTAATGTTTAAGAGTCTTTTATACATTAATGTTGTATACATAGTTTTCAAATAGTCAGATATTTATTAAATGATGCTGTGTAAAAATAAAAATAAATAAAAATAAGTATGTGTGTATGTCTCTGGGGCCTCAGTTTTAACTATTGACAATGATATTGTTTTTTTATTACGTTATTGTCTTAGTAAAGAGACAGATAATGTGCTAGAAGGCATAGGATTTTTTAATGACACTTTTATGCTTAGAAAGCACAAAACACAGATAACTTGCTAGACGGCATGGCATTTTTAATATACATTTGCTGTTTTCTAAATTCATAGAAAAATAAGTCATATCTAAGGACATTGTTTTAACCTTGTATTTCTTCAAGAGTAGCATCATTTCCTATTTAGATTTAGATCATTAACTAATGTGATGCAGAATTGCCAACATTTTCTTCATAATCAGTTCCTGGGTTTGTTGGAAGTGATAATAAAGCTATAGAATTTGAGAAAATTTGCTTTTATTATTGGAATAATAAGTTTTGAGGTAAATGTACAAAATGGTTTTGCTATTGACACAGTTTTTTATAATGTTACATTGAAGACCATACACGAGATTTAAAATTGATCTCCCTCCCTCCCTCCCTCCCTCCCTCCCTCTCTCTCTCTCTCACACACACACACACACAGAGACACTTTCCTGTCAAAAATATTTTTGAATGGAAATATATAAGAAAAATTATCAGTTGTAGTGATCCTCATCTCTAATTATACACATCCAACCTTGCTGTTGTAAATGAACACAATGTCAATTATTCTGTTCATACACAGGTATCGGTATAATAAAATGGGAATATTACTTTAACTTGTTCTTAATGCTACTTAGAACTTATGATATCATTGCTTTTGCTTTTGTCTGTTGATCTCTTTTGTTAGCTAATCATATAAAGTGCTCTCACTCTTTCCTTGTTTCACCCCCACATTTGACATACTGTCCTCAGGTTACCTTTATTTTAATAAGGAAAATGCATTGTTCCTGTTTAGATAATAATAGTTCCTATGATTTGTTGCAGTTTGCAATAGCTTTACCGTATATATATCTTAAAGTTAGAATTTATTTATTGTTTAACAGCATTAATAAACTGTCCCAATCTGATGAATTCTGAGTATTCATGAGCAAACCAAAAAGAGAGTATCAAAAAAAATTCATGTAAGTACATGAATAAAAGTTTAACTTAAAACAGAGTTGAAAACAAGTTAAAATTTATAGGTAAATAAACAGACACTAACAGAACACAATTGATTAACTATGAAACTGGCAACTAAAGCTGAGAAATTCTTAGTGGAAAGCTGTTGCATTTTAATAAGTAACAATCATTTGATTTTCATTGTAATTAAATTATTTTAAATGTTTCAAGATATAAATGGTTCTATATTCATCATGACTAAGTTCTGTAGTAGAATAGTTTCTGCTTTAAGTAAGAACCTATTTTATAACAATTTTTGTTCTAATGTAGAATAGGTTGTGTTAACAACTTACAATTATCACCTCTAATACTACATCCATCTTTAAGAAAGCGAGGATACTTTCTTACTTGCACACTAAGAAAAATCAAATACATGATATTACTTCATAGAATACTGAAGGTCACTTTTTTTGCTTTGGATCAGGAGAGTCCGAAGGTGATCTTTTAACAATTATTCTTTTACAATATTTATACCTACCTTTTAGTGTTCTAAGGGATGAAGTGGCCCAGAGGCTTAGTGACGCTGGTTGTGCTGAGCAATTTCAAGTACTCTGGTGGTTTGAGTCCAACTCCACTCTCGTCTATTGTCCCTAGCTCCTGCCCATCTAGGAGTCTGAAATCATGAGTAAATAGATAGGTACTGCCATTTTGGTAGTGGGAAAATGCTGGCTACGTTCTGCACATGGAGCTGGAAACAGTGTGGGATCTGCCTGGATGTGATCGGTGGAGAAGTGACAGAGGAAAACCCAGGATGAGGCAATGAGAACGCTGTAGATACTAAAGTTTGTTCTCTTGTGGTGCACTGGTGCAACAAATGGATTAGCGATTGTCAACTACCAGGACTTTTACCACATGTACAACATTGTAGCCTTCCTAGCCTTGTATGTCCTATGGTAAATAAATAATACCATACTGCCCCAAACACTTGGGGCAGTATGCTTAATCCTCATTTGCCATTTTTCACATTACACTTTGAAAGGAAGAGTATCTGGGTTAAAATCAAGTCAGTAGCTATTCAAGAATATCAATAAATGGATCTAGAACCTTCAGCTCATTGATCCCTTCATGAAATTTCAGATTGAAAATAATACTTATTAATAGTACTATTACCCTAATAGTAGTACAATAAAAATAAGAACAACATTGATGGATAGTTCCATCAACCTTTGACAGTCAACACTGACCAAAAATGTCATTTCTGGAATAAAGAATGGAAATAAATTATCCAAATAATTAACTCTTATTATAAAAAGACATTCACCATTCTCATTCAATCAGTCCATCCCTAATTCTTCTGATTAACCAAGATAGGGAAAGATTATAGAAGGCCTCATCTCTGCAAGAAACCTATTACTCCTTCAGGCTATATAATTTGAAATCCATCCTGTTTTAAGTAGACAAGCCTATGCCAAAATTATACCTTCTGGTATCGTACTACTTTAATTGTAGACATAAAATTCCTCGCAAATGTGTCACACTGAGCTACACAATCTCTTCACTTTTGGAGCCAGAATATAGAAAATCTCTGCACAAAAGCTCACATTTTTGGCTCAATTGCAGTGGGTGCAATGTCATGAAGAATCAAGACTTTTTGCCACCATTACCATATGGGCTGAATCTAAGTTTGATTATATTAAATCGCTTAGGATAATATATTAAAATAGAGCACCCACAATTAATCATCGCCCCTCTATACATGACATGCTCAAACATATATATTGAGTAGTTGTGGCAATAAACAAACCCTTAAAGACATTAATTCTATTTACAAAGTTGGAGTTTTGTTTTTTTAATTCTCCTTGGATTATCTCAGATGATCACAAACAAATAATGGGTTATCCAATCAACTAGTTAAGAGGGGGAGTTGCTATATTTGCTTACGATAGCACTGGTGTTGGAATTTAGCTTAAGTCAGTGATGGTGAACCTATGACACGCATGTCAAAGGTGACACACCATGACATTTTGGCTGACCCCAGCGTTCATCAACATCTACACAACTCCAAAAATGAGTTTGTTTTACTCTTACCAGATAGTGAATGACGTGTTTATGGTTATCTGTATATCAAGAATGAATACGTTTATTCTTAGAACCTTTTTGGAGCATGATAAAGAAAAGAATGACAAATAATCAACAGCATTATCTTCAGAGCAGGGTTTTTTTATTCAGTCTATTTTGAGATGCTAATTAGATGAAACACAACAGATAGTTTATACTAAGAGGATTTTTTTAATATATCTGCTTTTCCATTTCAGAATCTGTACAGTCATATTCTATTCAGTAAACATGAAAAGAGGCAAACGCAGAGAGAATAATAAATAACATAGATCTTACAAAATGTTAACATTTCTTGATTGGTATAAATTTGTCTTCAGAGAAAATAAGCCTTCGCAATTATGAGGTTTTAAAAATGACACAACCCATCATTTCAGAAATGTAAGTGAAGGGGGGGAAAGAGCTATTACATTTCTTGGCTCGCTAATACCATTAAATTGGGTTAACCAACCAGTCTTAATTTTATAAATATTCAATCAATAGTAATTTTATGTTTGGATTAAATAGAAATACATTGTTATCCAGGGTCAGAACAGATCTCCTTTAAAATGCATTTCTGGATGGAACAAATAAAGGAGGGGATATAAAATTCCTGACTATGTTGTCATGAAGCATGATGGCATATTTGGCACTTTTCTTGTTCACATGCATTCCCAGATCAGTTAACAGTTGCTCATCCTTATGCTAGGCTTTACTTGCATAAATGATGAAACAGGCAGTTTATACTCATCCTTACTACAATTTTTGGAATATTAATTGTAAAATATCAGTATCACAATTTACATGATAATACATCTTGGAAGCACTGGCAAAGGCAATTATTTCAGCATTCTGATGCTTTGAAATGTCACTAGCTATTGTTGGTCTAAACTCACTAAACACATTTTTGGTTCTTAATAATTTACAGCAGCTATGTGATACAGTGGCCTGCCAAATTTAATGCTGTCTTCAGAAGGTTGAAATTAAATGGGATGAGAGAGAGAGTGCTTAATTATTTTGGTTAGAGTCTGAGCCATAATATTAACATGCTCCTTTTGGCTGAGAAGACCTTTTTAACCACAATATTTAATCTGTAATCATTTGTATAGACTTAAGTCCTACTAAAACCAGAAGGATTTATTTCTAAGATATTTAGGATGTGAGATAGAAGCAAATTATTTGAAGTGCTAAATATAAAAAAACCTCGTCTATTTGTCAAGTAGCAGATAGCCTTGGCTATTAACACAGGAAACATGGCGTGAAACTGAATTTTTTCACATACAAGATTTATCATCAACATGTCTGTCAAAGGCTGTTTTCTCTCCTGTGCTTAATTAGTTTGACACTGCATGACTTATGATCATGATAATATTGTTTATTGATTTCAGTTGTTGTCACTCTAAAGATAGCAAATCTAAAATAATTAATTATATTGTATATATAATTATCCTCTCAACCCATGGAAGGTGAAGATGACCCAAACCAGATTATACTAGATGGTTTCATAACTTTGCTGAGTTGTTAAACGAAAAGCTTGTGATTTGCCAAAGTAAACATCAGAAGAATAGTTCATCCTTATTATAATTATTTGCCATTTTATTAAATATAATATACATCTTGTATAGAATATACCATTTTATATAAATAATATAAATACAATTTTTGAAACTTCATTTTGCCAATATTTATTAATAGAACTGATTTATTGCTTACACTCACATTTTTGAGTTTCTTGCTTGTTTTAAATAGTGATTCTGCTAACATTTTTTGTTTGATTACATCACTCAGTGGAATGTCAACATAGTTAGAAGATGGAAGCACTTAGTTGGTTGAGCTGGAGAAAAGCTAAGACAGTGCTCTATTGATAAACCGGTTACATTCCAAAAGGCTGTTCATAAGTTAATTTTGTTCACAAGTCCAACAAGTATAAAAATATGCACAATACAGTTATTATTTACATAAGCGGTAGCATCACAATAAAACCTTATAGCAGTGGAATAGGCTCATTCTCCAGAATTGAAAAATTAGATTTCTCCACCTTCTTGAAATAGTAGTCCTGTAAACTTTGGGTGGTGGCTTTCCTCTTTTCTTGGTAAATGTTGCTGTTCAACTATTCAACATGAATGTCCTGCATTTTGAACATGATAGCATTTTCTCAGACAGGTTGAACTCCTCTGCAGTTCTCAGCTTCATGTGGAACTGCTTTGATAGTTCAATCTCTTTATTTTTCTCTGACTTTTCAACTCCATGAGATCTTCATTGGAGATATCCTCTGTATGTGCAATTAGCAGCTCATCGAAGTCCTTTTCTAGGAAATCAGAAGAAGATGAGAAAGGAAGTCGGAAGAAGGTGGGGAAAGGTTAGTTTCCAGCACACCACGTATATGTGATATGTCAGAAATTAACCCATTCCCAGCTTCTCTCAACTTCTGGGACTTTCTAATTGAAATTGCAGACAGGCTTGTTCATGTTTACTGAAAGTTTGCAACTCAAAAGTTTGTAAGCAAAGTAATATCTGTAGCTGGTTAGTATTTCCATGGAAAATCACAAATTCCAGAGCTTCAGACCACACTGAAACTGAAAAAAAGCATTTTGATTAGAAGAAAACAGTGGCAAACTATTTAAATACAGTTTTCAAGAAACACAAGTATACGGCTCAAAAAAATAAAGGGAACACAAGCAGAAGACATCCGAGATCTGAATGAATGAAATAGCCTTATTAAATACTTGGTTCTTTACATACAGTAGTTTATACACTGCTCAAACAACTAAAGGGAACACAAAACTACTGTATGTAAGGAACAAAGTATTTAATAAGGCTATTTCATTCATTCAGATCTCAGATGTCTTCTGCTTGTGTTCCCTTTATTTTTTGATTTGCAGCAGTCTTTACTTCTCAATGTAGATATTATTTCTTGCCTGAAAGCACATTCTAGGGAGGTCCATGTAAGATTCGCCAGAAAAAAAGTGAGGGACATCTTATACAACATAGCGTGAGAGGAACAAATTACTTTCAGAGGGAAAGAGGTGATTATTTTAAAACAAGTACCAAGAAGAGTGACGGAAGGGAGGAAGAATTATTGAATAGAATTATTGAATAGAAGAAACATAATGTTTAGATGGCTCCTGCCTGAGGGGATGTTAATCTCATGGCAGGGAAGGAAAATTAAAATTGACAGCTTAAGTGCAGCACAGGACTTCCTAGACCAGCTAAGGGGGTGGGGGGGAAGAGGAGCAAAATAGCAAAGAGGAAATTGAAACGGCAAACACAGAAGAAGAGACTTCCCAAGAACAAAGTACAAAGGAAGATATAGAGGAGGAGAAGAAAAGAGAAGAAGAAGAAAAAGGGAAAAAAACTAGACCGGTAAGAGTAGTAACTTTAAAAACAAACAAGAACTAGGAATTAGACACAAATATTAGGAATGAATGATATAAAAATCCTATCTCTAAATGTCAATGGCTTAAATGATTATAAAAAGAGGAAGTTAATACTGTCAAAACTGGTAAAACAAAATCCGGATATAATATGCATACAGGAGGTCCACATAAAAAAAGAAGAGGCCAATCTTCTGGAATATACTAAATTTGGCAAAGTATTTGTGTCCTTAGCAGAGAAAAGAAAAAGGGGGGTTGCTATGTATGTCAGAAGAGGAATAGAGGCAGAACTAAAATATAAAGATGCTAAAGGGAGAATCCTAATGATAGAGGTAACGAGTGGTAACTAAAATGATGTTGGTGGGGGTGTATGCTCCGAATAAAAAACAGGGACAATTCTATCGTAAATTACATGAACAGTTAGGAAAATGGGTGCATAATGAAATATGTATGTTAGGCGACTTTAACGGTATTGTAGACCCAGACAGAGATTATAAAAGTGGAAAAATTAAAAAAAATAAAAGGACACCTTTGCCAAAAAGTTTTTTTGATTTGGTGGATGAATTAAATCTAATTGATATGTGGCGAACATTGCATCCTTCTGATAGACAATACACTTTCTACTCGAACCCGCAGAATTCCTGGTCTAGAATAGATATGGTATGGGCCACCAGGAAACTAGGATTGGAAATTAAGAAGGTTGATATGAGCACAAACACCTGGGCAGATCACAAGCTCCTCGAAATAAACTGGCATTATTTGAATAAGAGAAAACAACAGAGATAGAGATTACAGACGAACTTACTGAATGAAAAAGAGTTTATATTTAAACTGAATGAAGAAGTAAAGCGCTTTTTTACAGAAAATGGTAATCAAGGTACGGCCAGAGAAATTGTTTGGGATACTATGAAGGCTTATGTGAGAGGAGTAGCTATATCGTATATGGCGTTTAAAAATAAAGAAAAAAGGAAGGCTAGGGAGGCCCACACCAAAAGGTTAGAAGAAGCGGAAAATAAACTACTGCAAAACCCGGGAGACGAGGTGGGTAAACAAAAGTGGATGATGGCAAGACATAGGCTGAATATTTTGGATCAGAAGGAGATAGCGCAAAAAATAAAAAGAACAAAGCATTACTACTTTGAGAACGCTAATAAGTCTGGAAGGTGGCTTGCATATAAATTAAAAAAAGAAAATGAAAAAAGTCAAATTCTTGCATTAGAAGATTCTAAGAGTAACCTCCTGACGAAGGAAGAGGATAAATTAGAAAGAACAAGAGAATTTTACGAAGCTCTTTACAAAGAGGAAGAGATTGAGCCAGATAAGGTGGAACAATATCTGATGGAAGCTAGTCTACCTCATATAACAGAAGAAGAGAGGGAAATGTTGAACAACAAAATTACAATAGAGGAACTCAAAATTGCTCTTACTAAAATTCAAAAGAATAAAACCTCAGGTCCAAATGGACTCCCAGGGGAAATTTATATAAAATTTGACGAAGCATTGCAATTAGAATTATTAGAAATCTTTAATGAAGTCTTGGGGGATACAAGAATCCCGGACACATGGAGGGAAGCGTATCTCACACTCATATTGAAAGAAGGTGCCGATCCGAAACAAATTGCAAATTATAGACCCATCTCCTTACTAAATTCAGATTATAAATTGTTTATGAGTATAATAGTGGAGAGGGTGAAAATTTTTTTAAACCTTTGGATCCACAAAGACCAGAATGGATTTCTTCCAGGGAGACAAATGAGGGACAATCTGAGAACGGTATTAAATGTTATAGAGTATTATGAGCAACATCCCGAAAAGCAGTTGGCGCTAGTGTTTGTGGACGCCCAAAAGGCGTTCGATAACCTGAATTGGAGCTTTATGGTCAATCAAATTAATTTAATGGGATTTGGGGCAAATTGAGAATATTTATCACAAACAGAGGGCGAGTATACTAATAAATGGGGACAAGACTCAAACATTTCAGATTCAAAAGGGAGTAAGGAAGGGGTGCCCCCTATCCCCTCTACTTTTCATCTTGGCGTTAGAAGTGCTACTTAGGAAGATTAGATCTAATAAAGAAATCAAAGGACTAAAGATTAGGAAAGAAATTTTTAAAACGCAAGCCTTTGCAGATGATGTGGCTCTAATAACAGAAGGCCCATTAGAAATTGGCCCAAAATTACTACAGGAAATACAGAAGTATGGAGAAGTTGCCGGCTTTAAACTTAATAAAACAAAAAACAAAATAATAGTGAAAAACGTAACAGAAGCATATAAGAAAGAGTTGGAAGAATCATTAGGTCTCCAGGTAGTGAAGAAAACAAAATACTTAGGAATATGGATAACTTCGAGGTATTCATCATTAAAAGAAGATAATTATACCCCACTATACACCAGGATTTAGATAGATGGAAAAAGCTAAAATTGTCTTTCACGGGTAAAATAGCAGCAATTAAGATGAATATCCTCCCCAAAATTATATTTCTATACCAAAGCATACCGGTGAGTCTAGACCAAAAATTCTTTCTAGATTTGAATAAAAGTGTTAGGAATTTTTTATGGGAGGGAAAGAAGGCGAGGATCTCATATAAGATATTGCAAGGGAAAAGAAATATGGGTGGCTTTGGACTCCCTGATTGGGAAGCTTACCAAAAGGCAGCTAAATTAGTTTGGATTAAGGAGTGGGTCACATTGCAAAATAGGAGAATTCTGACCTTAGAAGGTCACGATTTACAAGAAGGATGGCACGCCCATTTGTGGGACCCAAGAAATAAGAAAAAATCCTATTTTCACAAACATAAAGTAAGGGAGACCCTTATACAAACGTGGGAGGAGATTAGGCAGCGGTTCTACGCCAAAGTACCAAATTGGCTTTCTATTATAGAGGCCCTGACCTCTCCAAATAAAAGAGACATTTTAAAATTGGGCACATATAAGGATATAATAGATGAAAATGGGAATCTTAAATCCCTGGACACACTGAGAGACCAAGGCTTTAACCTAGACTGGTGGAATTATTTACAGATAAATTCAAGGTACCAGAAGGATAGGGATCAATATGGCATAGAAGCAAAGTATAGAAATTTAGACAAAATTATGCTGGGGGTGGAGAAGAAAATGTTAGCAAAAATATACAATCTTCTATTAGACGAGGACAGGGCAGAGGATATAGCCAGAAACCAGTTAAGTATCTGGGAAAAAAACATTGGATATAGTTTAAATTTTAATGATTGGGAAGAGGCCTGGAACAGAAATTATAAAATGACTAAAGCGGCAACATACAGGGAAAATCATTATAAGATGCTCCACAGGTGGCACCTAGTGCCAGCCAGATTAGCGAAAATGTTTCCTAATGCTTCAGCAACTTGTTGGAAGTGTGGAAAGGATGTTGGCATCTTCTATCATATGTGGTGGACTTGCTCAATGACAAAAAGGTTTTGGTCTAGAATTCGAAATTGGTTACGGGAAATAATCGAAGAGGAATTAGATTTATCCCCTGAAATATTTCTTTTGGGAATAATCAGGGATGGGTTTACTAAAGATAAAATTCAACTTATAATTCATATTACAACAGCGGCCAGATTAGTGTATGAAAAATTTTGGAAAGAGAAAACCATACCACCAGAGGAAATATTAATAAATAAAATTTTAGAGTACGCAGAAATGTCAAAACTAACGAACGAGCTAAATAACAATGAGAAATCAAAACACCATGTAGTATGGGAAAAGTGGTACGAATGGTTAAACAATAGGATAAAATTATGTCAGGGTATGCTTATTTCTTGCAATTTAAGTGTGAAGTATACCTGATGTATATTTTGTAAATATGTACAAACACTGCACTTCTGAATTTAGTAGAGATTTGATGCTTTTAACCATAAAACTAATAAAGTATATTTAAAAAAAAAAAGAAAGCACATTCTAAAGCATCTTAGAAACTCTTACTATAACTTAATCAAATTGCTTATTTGTGCATTGTTTGTAAATGTGCTACTGAATTCTTGTATTTCTTACTGCTATTCTATTATCGAATAGCAAAGCAGAAGGATAAAAGAAAGTGATTCAAGTCCATACAAATGAGGCAGCATGCTGACATGTCTCAATCTGCTAAAGCCAAAAAGTTTCAGCTCAAGTACAGCCCTGCAACTTTTTTTTCAGTTTAAGGAACATACAAAGAACATACAAACTAGCAAAATCTAAAAAAAAGAAAAAGCAGAAAAGTGAGAAAAGATAAAGATAAAAGTGCAGAGAGAAAGAAGAAAATGAAATGGATAGAAGTTTCCAATTTCTTTTGCAGCAAATATAAGTACAATTACAAAATTGTTCCAATCAATCAGAATAGAGCTGGAAGGGACCTTGGAGGTCTTCTAGTCCAACCCCTGCTCAAGCAGGAGACCCTATACCATTTCAGACAAGGCTGTCCAGTCTTTTCTTAAAAACCTCCAGTGATGAAGCACCTACAGCTTCTGAAGGCAAACTATTCCACTGGTTAATTGTCCTCACTGTTAGGTAGTTTCTCCTGAATTCCAGGTTGCTTTCCTTCTTGATTAGTTTCCATCTAAGCCTGAGGGAGAGAAGGGAATAGGAGAGGCTTTTGTAGGGAGGCTGAGGGAGAGAAGGGGATAGGAGAGGGGAGGCTTCTGTGGGGGCAAGCCTGAGGGACAGAAGGAGATAGGAGAGGCCTCTGTGCGGCAAGCCTGAGGGAAAGAAGGGGATAGGATAGGGGAGGCTTCTGTGGGGGCAAGCCTGAGGGAGAGAAGAGAATAGGACAGGGGAGGCTTCTGTGGGGCAAGGCTGAGGTAGGGAAGGGGATAGGATGGGAGGCTTCTGTGGGGCAAGGCTGAGGGAGGGAAGGGGGATAGAATAGCAGAGCCCTCTGTGGGGCAAGGCTGAGGGAGAGAAGGGGATAGGAGACATTTCTGTGGGGCAAGGCTGAGGGAGAGAAGGGGAGAGGAGAGGCCGATTGTAACTACTCATTAATTTTCAAGCTGTGTCGATTTATCAAGCCCAATTACATAGTTTCCTAGCGAAGCAAGGGTATCCAGCTAGTAAATAATTATAATAACAAATAACAATTTGTAATTGTTATCTCTTACTCTAAGATTACAAAAGAAAGTTCACTCTTTTCTATTATCCAGATTTTTCTAATTATCAGAATCACAAATCATGAGGGCATTTTTTCCATTTTATGCAAAAAAATCTATAAGGGATTTCCAGTACGACATAAATGTAGATATTGTTTTGCATTTTCCATTTCTTTAAAATTATATGAGCCAGTAACAGTACTTACAGATCTTTTTGCCACATCAAGGTAATAATCAGGCAATGCTTTTAAGCAAGATGCTTTAGTTGGCCAGAAGTAGAAGTCAAAATAACCTTGCAGCACTCTTATTAACTTGAAATACTGCAGTACATATGAAAATCGAGATCTGGACAAAAGAAGGAATTATAAAGATGAGTAGCTAAGCTTCTCAACAATATCTTTGCATATGGTGACTAACTGATCATTGGTATCATTGCTACAGTACAGCATTGCCGCCATTAAAACAAAACATTTCTGCCATTAAAACAGAACATTAGGTTTATTATATTTTTAAAAAAACATCACTAGAGAATGAGTATTAAAGTAAGGTGCTCATAAGCAGTTTTAAAAATCTACTGTATTTTGATATTTGGTGGAATTCCTTAAGTATGGAACTTCCTTAAGGAAAGTATAGTTAGTACCTTCTTAATATTTCACGCAAGTTATAAAGATTTTATTGCATTTGGTTTTGTTTGAAATGATAAATTGACAGAAACTTGCATTATGCTTGTTTTATGCGACATGTTAAAGTATTTAACTGCCCTGTGGATTATATATTTGATTTGATCTGTTATGTGAACTTGAATTTTCATTATTTGATGTATTTTAAGATACCATTTAATGATTAGAAGCTACATTGGGAGAATGCTTTTTGCTGAAAGCAATAGAAGCATTTTTTAATCATTTGAACAATATCTGACAGTAACTGACAAATGAATTACTGAGCCAAAATACCCAAATGTAACTTCAATAATTTATCTTTATCTTAATTGATTAAAAGCACACCATAATAGCAAAGAATATTTCAGCATAATTTATTCAGCTTTTTCCCTGGCAATCCTAAAAAAATAGTTTTTGCATACTTACTATGAAATTAGCACCACTGAATTATAGTTGGATTTACAGACACATACTTGGGTATAGGAATTGCAACTATTTGGACCTATACCATCAGTTTCAGCATAAAATAATACTTATATCCAGATCAATTTTGATAAATATCTTCCTACACATAGGTATCCTTATCTATATATATAAAAGCGAAAACCACTCACGCATTAATCACAAAATCTCCAGAACCGTAAAGCCTACAAACTTGAATTTTTCCACGTGTGTTTCTCTTGGCTTCTAGGTGCTCACTAAGAAAGGATTTTTCGAAATGACCATCAGAGCATTAGTATTTCCTATATTATTACAACACGCTCTGATGCTAATTAGTTAGATGTTCTACTCCCCCTCTCAACTTGAAAATAACTCTGGAGAGAATGGGATAGCATAGGACAGGCTTCTGTGGAGAAAGCCTCTTGGAGAGAAGGGGCTAGAAAGCCTGAGGGAGAGAAGGAGATAGGATAGGAGACATTTCTGTGGGGCAAGGCTGAGGGAGAGAAGGGGAGAGGAGAGGCTTCTGTGGGGCCTGCCTGAGGGAGAGAAGGGGAGAGGAGAGGATCTATGGGGTCAGCCTGAGGGAGAGAAGGGGAGAGGAGAGGATCTATGGGGCCAAGCCTGAGGGAGAGAAGGGGAGAGGAGAGGCTTCTGTGGGGCCAGCCTGATGGAGAGAAGGGGAGAGGAGAGGATCTATGGGGCCAGCCTGAGGGAGAGATGGGGATAGGAGAGGATCTATCGGGCCAGCCTGAGGGAGAGAAGGGGATAGGAGAGGATCTATGAGGCCAGTCTGAGGGAGAGAAGGGGAGAGGAGAGGATCCATGGGGCCAAGCCTGAGGGAGAGAAGGAGATAGGAGAGGATCTATGGGGCCAAGCCTGAGGGAGAGAAGGGGAGAGGAGAGGCTTCTGTGGGGCCAGCCTAAGGGAGAGAAGGGGATAGGAGAGGATCTATGGGGCCATACTGAGGGAGAGAAGGGGGATAGGAGAGGAACTATGGGGCCAGCCTGATGGAGAGAAGGGGAGAGGAGAGGCTTCTGTGCGGCCAGCCTGAGGGAGAGAAGGGGATAGAGAGGAGAGGCTTCTGTGGCGTTAGCCTGAGGGAGAGAAGGGGAGAGGCCGATCGTAACTATTCATTAATTTTCAAACTCTAAGTGTCGATTTATTAAGCCCAATCACATAGTTTTGTAGCAGAGCATGGGTATTCAGCTAGTAATTTATAGAATGAGAAATGCTTTCAGTTAAAATGTATCCACATTTTATTCTGGATTTGGTTAACTTATGCTTAACACAACCTTGTGTTTGGGAATCAGTGCTTTTATTACAATATCTAGAGTATCATGTTTACAACAACCTTCCCACTATCTATCCAATTCCACCTGCTGTATAAAGGCTTATATCCTTGATTCCCAAGTTTTGATCTGTGGCATCCCAGAGCACCACAGTGAATTCACAGGGGTGCTGCAGGATAATGAAATACTATCTTGGAGTAATTCACAGTTTTAGGTTTGGGGACCAAGAAAAAATTAATCTGGCACTATGTGATGGATTTGTGAAATGGTGGGAAAAAATTGGTTGATAATCCAAAGGTCATTGGTAAACATACAGGGAATCCCTGTTCAGATGAAACCAAAACTGTACTTACTAAGATTTATGAAAGAAGAACCGAGTAAAAAAACCCCATGGTGTATTATTATTATATGACTAGCTGTACACAGCGTTGCTGTGGCCCAGTCTGGTGCTTCTGCTAGGCTAAAAGAGCGAGGCTGAACTTCCAAACTCTCCACGAACATTTGGTGGGCGTGGCCAACTCGATGTGACCCACTTTCATCAGTCACATGACAGCCCCCCGAGCCACGCCTAGCCAGTTGGTGATTAGGGCAGAGAACCGGTTGCTAAAAAACAATGGGAACCACAAAATCCTCCCTCTCTGTCTCCCTCTCTCTCTTTGTATCTCTCTATGTCTCTCCCTCGCCTGTCTGTATCTCTCTATGCCTCTCCCCCCCTCTGTATCTCTGTGTCTCTCTCCCCCCCTCTCTCTGTATCTGTCTTTCTCTCCCCCTCTCTGTATCTGTCTCTCTCCCCCCTCTCTGCATCTCTGTCTCTCTCTCTCCCCCCCTCTCTCTGTATCTCTGTATGTGTTTCTCTCTCCAACCCCGCCGTCTCTCTGTATTTCTCTATGTTTCTCTCTCCAACCCCGCCGTCTCTCTGTATTTCTCTATGTCTCTCTCTCTGTTTATCTCTGTCTCTGGCCTGGCCTCTTCTGCATCCCCCACCATCGCCCTTAGCTTTTCAGGCAAGGCCTTTGCAGCTTTCCGCACCACAGCAGAAACTCAGGGGCTCCCTCCGTCCTCCCTACACAGATGTTCTCTGGAGGCTCGACGGGGAGACGCATAGCAGGGAAGGAGAGGGAGGGAGGGAGCGGGTGCGTGAATTCGAGGCTGGTTTGGGGCTTCCTGCCCGAAGGAAGAAAGTGGCAAACCCAGGAGCCACGCACATCCCACTGGACCCTTGCTGCGCAGTTCTCCCCCCCCACCTGCCAAGGGCAGGGGAATGATTAAATCCCCCGCTCTTCCAGGAGAAATGAAGGAGGGCCAGCCATCCTTCCTCCTGGCCGTTTCCGCCCCCCGAAGCCTCTCTGGAGCCCCTTTTCTGCCAGAGGCCGAAATTTTTGTGTAGACTCCGTGAACTGCCAGAGCGCCCACCTGGGAATCAAAGGCGGCGCTGGTCAAATGTGAACCCAGGGCTCCAGTTGCCTCCATCTCCTGCTCACTGACCGGATTCACATAGCGCCGGTTAGCGGCTGGTCTTTCTGACCTCAGAGCCCGTGATAGCGCTGGGCCAGGTGCGATTTGGGCCAGGCGAGGGATGGAGGGTTCCCGCTCAGCGGACCCAGGCAGCCTCATTGCCAGGTGTTCTTTGGAGGGAGCCCCGAGAGCGGCTGGCAAGGGGGATGGGCAGCTGCGGCGGGCAAGGCTAGTTCACGGGGCGGCCGGGGGAGGGGGAGGTCCGAGCCAGGCTGGGCCCTAGAAGCGCCAGCTGTGAGGGCTTCCCGACGGGGAGCCGGCTGCCTACCTGCTGAGCCTGGTGGCAGGATATGGCCCTCGGGCGTCTCTGCCTTCCAAATGCGCAGTTTCTTGGAAGCAATATGGAGAGTTTAAATATAAGGAGCAGAAATCTGTTGAGCGTAATCAGGGCTGGGAGGCTGCCATGTTGGTTTTACGTCCAGCAGATGGCGCTGTTTTTCAATGTTTGTCAATATCTTACAATGTTTTTCATGTTTTTACCTGTCACAGGTATGACATGTATATAATATAGGTATATATAAACACGCCCATAGTTGAATGCAACATTATGTCAAAATTTGAAAGCAATCGGTGAAGAACTTTTGGAGATGTGCGGTTATGTACAAATGGACATTTACATTTTTATTTATATAGATTATGTTGGCAAGATTATACATGCAAAAATAGAAAAATAAAAAGTTCCAAATGCTGAAGATTGGATGTTTAAAGTTCTAGGTTTGACAGATGTGTCAAAACGTGACAGGTCTTGGGAGAAATTATAGAGGCTCTTATTAAAAACTGGATTCCATCTATTACAGAAGCAGAAATACCTTGGTCATAAAGGAGTTTATAAATTAAATAAGCAAATATAACAGAAATAGTTACTACAATGGTATAAAAGAATAAGAAATGTTTACTATAATTGATCCATGAAGAAAGCAAATGGCAGAAATGGGTTTTATGTTTTTTTAAATTGGGTATTTAGTTTTGCATTTGAAAGTTTACGTTTTTGTACAGTATACCGCATGTTTATGTATTATGTTTTCCTAAGTTTATAGGAATATACATAGAATTTCAATAAGGTTATATTAACATTAAAGAAAAAATGAACTAAAAAAGATTGTAAACGTCTGGCTTATACAAGCGAACGTTGAGAACAGACTACACAAATTAATGCACAAACAGCTGGTTTTGCCTTCAATTTTTCTATTCATTTATTTGTATCCCACCTTTATTATTTTTACAAATAATTCAAGGTGGTGAACATACCCAATACACCCTCCTCCTTCTATTTTCCCCACAACAAGCCAATGAAGAGGGGCTACTTAATATCTACTTTGGGTTATCAATTATCTGGCTGTTACAGTGATGATTTTTTTAAAAACCTCATGAAAATATCTATGTTCAACTACAACTGATGTCAAGAAATAGGCATTTTCAGATTCAGATTCAAATCAGAATC